TGTTATTTTCCGCAGCTCAGTAGTGTGTATGGGTGTAAACAGTCGAAAACACGTTTTTGCATTAGAATTTCAAGACTTCAGTTTGCATTTTTGATTATTATTTTTATACTCCGTAATGCTGTGTTCGTGTATTTGCGTAGCGCCATTTGCATCTATCTGTTTATAGTAGTCCTTGAAATGGCCAGTACCGTACGTTTTTCTGCGATGTTCTTGGTTTTCTTGAATCTGTTGTTTATTAACTGGAGAACATTTCATTTAAAGGACTTCCTGACTTCCCTTCCGTTCTGTACATTTAAAGAGAATTTACGGTACACAATAGAAACCTGAAAACGTATATATTTATTCTACGTAAGACATATGGCGGGTTCTGCATTACACGTTATTCTTTCTCTCTTAGGTCACAGATTTCCTGTCCAAGACTTTATTTCGTCGCTGCAGAAAGAAACCATATACAGCAGTATTTCAAAGACTCATAACCAGGGCCCGGATTTTGATGACATATCATCTTTTTTCATTGTATCCTATTTGACGCCCGTAAATATATAAATCCCGGCTATCAGCTGCAGGTTACAGAAATGTAACTTTTATAGGTCCTTTTTTTTTTTTGGTAATTTTTCGTCATTTTTCGTTAAATTTTTGGACTTTTAAGGGTTTTTTAGTCATTTCCGCCATTTCAGGAACATTTTCTTAATATGTTTTCGGAAATGTGAATAATATGTAAGTAAAATGTTCTTTCTTTCTCCTACCTCTACAAAGGCATCCTGCAGCTGCACCCCAAATACCTGCCACCACAGTGTGGAATAATAAGCTGTAATCCTGTCCCATCCTTTCCGTTCGTTTTGCGGAAAGTGCTGACATTACATAACATAAAACATTTAAGCTGGCAGCAGGGTACGACAGCGGTCGCTCACACTGCGGCCCTTTCCAAATTCTGTGCAAAGGAATTTGCTTAGTTACAAATATTTCTAGTCGGAATCCATCGCTTTTTATGACATATTGTTGCTCAATAAAACTACGTCTGTCTTCAGTTTCTGACCCTTGACCGTACAGATAAAGATACAGTTGACGAAATGTTCTCGGTGAGAAAAGTTCAGTTCTGTGTTGCGCTAGAGTGATTAATTTTATCACCATGCCAAAAGCAAAGCCAACTAAATCGTGTCATTTAAAGCAATTTGTAGCTGAGTTTGGAGATGATATATTTTCAACTGACTGTGACATTTTATATTGCAAGATGTGTGACACAAAATTAATGGCAGAAAATAGATTCACGGTACGACGACATATCGGCCTCGACAAGCATATACGAGCAGTGCAAATTTCGAACAAAAAGAAACCTGTGCAAATGTTACTGCAACAGTGTTCATCTGGAGGTGGAAATAAGTCATCGGATTTTTTCACAGATCTGTGTGATGCTCTGGCGTCCGAAAATATTCCGTTTTGGGCTCTGAACAATGGAAAACTGAAAAATTTTCTGGAAGTGAACTGTGGTCCTTCCATCCCGGATAAATCCACACTCAGGAAGGACTACCTTTCCCAGTGCTACAACAGTATCCTGGAAATGATTAGGAATAAAGTGCATGGGAAGAAGATTTTCGTTCCCATTGATGAGACCTGCGATACGGAGGCTCACTACGTGGCAAACGTCATCATTGGAACCTTGGAAATTGGCGGACCAGGTGAAGTGTTTCTGCTCACAAGTGAGGTGCTAGAATCCGTTAATCATTCCACAGTTTGTCAACTCTTCGACAGGTCGATGTTTCTACTGTGGCCAGAGGGTATACGGCACGACGTCGTCTTGCTTTTTGTGACTGATGCAGTCCCACATATTGTAAGNTCTCGTGCAGCGAAATGGAAGTACAGCTGGCCTTCATAAAGGCAAACTTCAGTTCCTTGACGGAAGGAATCAAATGCTTACAGGAGAAAGGAGCAACGCTAGAAAATTCGCTCGCTCTGGTGAAAAGAAAAAAAAAATAGCCAGTGATTTGGAGAAAGGGTCGGGGAACATTGGTAAAACGGTGTCAAGAAAAATGAAACATGTTCTAGATAACAACTCAGGTTATGAAACATTATGCAGCATTTCTCGAATTCTGTAGGAGAGTTCTTCAGCGCTTTCAGTATTGAAGAAGAACTTACTGCTAGTGATTTGGTACACTTCAAGTGCGCTCCCACTGTGTCTGCAGATGTGGAAAGGAGTTTCTCCAAGTACAAGAATGTGCTGTCAGACAATAGGCGCTCTCTCACCTCCGAGAATCTCCGCGTGTTGACTGTCATCTATTGCAACTCTGAATGAGGTGGCACTTAAATACTGGAATATACACCGTATATGTACATTTGATAAGCGTTCCAACGCGGTAGAAAAAATCGTATTAAAACATTTAGCTTCAAATTCAATCATATATTGCTTAATTTTCAACATAAGAACGTTGAGTTCACAGTGTTATTAAAGATTAAAAATACATTTGAAAACAATTAGTAGTTTTTTAGGTCGTTTATAACTTCTAGATAATTTTTCTGGATTTTTCGGTCATTTTTCTGGATTTCGGTCACTTTATATGCCATTTTTCTAGATTATTTCTGTCATTTTTAAAACATTTTTAGGTCATCAAAATCCGGGCCCTTCTCATAACAATGAAAAATATAGTGTAAATGTTATAAAGCCCTTGTTTAAACAATTTTATGGTGTAAATATTAAGTTCTGTGTATGTAAGTTCATGATAAGCCGGGATAGCTCAGTCGGTATAGCGACTGGCTGCGGGCTGGACGACCAAGGGGTCGGATTTCGAGTCCCTGTAGGGGCAAAATGTTCTCTTCTCCATTTCGTTCAGACCAGCTCTGGGGACCATCCAGCCTCCTATCCAGTGAATACCGGAGGTAAAGTGGCCGGGGCGTTAAGCTGCTGACCACTCACTTCCAACTAGTGCCGAGGTCAATAATATATGAATCTGTACACGCACTCCCCAATTCTCCTTCTTATTTAGTCAAGCACAGGGACAAGGTTAGCTTGCTATACATAAGACATTTGGCGGGTACTGCCTGTCGCTGTACAGCCCTTGTGGACCGTTGCCGCTTTTTCAGTTTCTTAATCTATACACAGTCGGTATGACTCCTTATGCGGGGGATCAGCTCGTCGCAAGACCGCTACTTACACACAGGACAACACAGACACAGAATAAACGCATACAGATATCCATGCCTTGAGTGGGATTCGAAACCATGAACCCAGTGTTCAAGAGAGCGAAGACAGTTCATGCCTTAGAACGCGCAGCCACTGTGATCGGCTTCGAATAAAACACCAACCTTAACTAGGCGATTTAGCCCAAATTGATGTCTTATTATAATATTCTCGGCGTGTCTCTTACGTAATAAAAATTCTATAAAAATGTCAGTGTATACCATGAAGCCTGTAAGGGATAGCAGTCAGAATATCTACGAAACTCGCATGAGAAGTCTATAAAAAAGACGTTATTCATTTTTGCCTCCATCATAATGCTTTATTATGTATGGAGCATCGCGGGCGACTGATTAACAATTTATGATTTATATGCGGGAGGTCTGGGCTTCAGATCTCAGCCCCGGGGATCGGTTACCCCTCTGAGGTTTACATGCTTCTCACTTTCTGAAGGAAAATTGTAGGACAGTTCCTTAAAATTAGCCCACAACCACTCCTGCATTCTTACCAGTTCATTATCTAACAATGCTCTTATCATTCTACGCCGTGTAATCATAGCAATTGATATGATTGTTACATAACTCGAAAACAAAAACGTATTGTCATGAAATCTAGTTGTCACGTGTTTTCACACAAATGTTTTGTTTCTGTGGGCTAGTGGTCAGACTTCCAGGCTACAGATCCAGATGTCCTGGGTTCGATTCCCGGCGCTACCAGATTTTGTGAGAAGTAATGGGTCTGGAACGGGGTTCACTCAGCCTTATGACGATAATTGATGAGCTGTTTCAATGGAATGGCGGCTCCGGTCTAGAAAACCGAGATTAACGGCCGTGGGGATTCGTTGCGCTGACCACGCGACACCCTCTATCCGCTAATGTTGGCACTACGCCGACAAGCGGCGGTCTCTACTAAAACCCCCGAGTTTAAATTGCAGTCAAGATGCGAATTCCGAGATCTCTATCAGGCGTGCCCAATCATTGTAACCACCATCAGCTGGTCTGACGTACATTTGCATTCAGTACGAATATTTCTGATCTGAATGTAAAGTGTGTGGCTTTCAGGAATAAAATGAGTCTTCTCGTGACTTACATACGAAGAGGTCAAGTCTCATTGCTTATTTTCAGATTGAATTGTCAACACGAATCTAAATCGTCAGTGCTTATTAACAACCAGAACTTCCGGTTTCAGTATTGAACCTGTGCCGGCAGCGTGTGTAGGATGAATGCTGAGGATAGGGAAACGATCACTGAAACCTGTCCATATATTTTGCACGTGCATTAACTAAAGTCCGGTCTAGAGAACCGAAATTAACGGCCGTGTCAATCCGTTGCGTTGACCACGCGACACCTTCTATCCGCTAAAGTTGGCATTAACTTCGCCGACAAGCGATGGTCGCTCCGTCAGTACATTTCGCTTGCGGACTAAAAGCCACGAAGTTTTTTATTAACTAGTAAAGGTAGGGATGCTGTCTCTGATGCTTTCAAGTATAACCTCTCTGCCCAGTGTATAACAACATATTTATTTCGTAGACACACTTTTATTAGCTTCTTAATTGTGTTGAAATCACGGTTACTCATTCTTCACAAGGATGACGTCAATAGGAAGTTCTGTATAACTGTTTCGTGTCACGGAAGAGTCTTGTTCTGTGTTACTCATTTTAAAATTCACGCGAAAGGAATAGACTTCTGGTGTTTATACTCTATTTTTGGCTTAAGTGACTCCGGTTTAATCGTTTATGTTATCAATACATTGTATACCGATATAAGAGTGAAGTTTAACAAAGACTAAGCACTTACCACTTCCGGAAGATAGGAACATAAAAGTGGTATGAATTTATTAATATAAAGTATAATCCATATTTGATTTATTTCACTTCATGTAGAATGTACATTGAAATATAAGGCTGATTTCATTAAATATGCCCCCTCCCCATAATTTATACTGATTTAATAATCTTGTAAACTTCACCATATTTCCACGTCATGTATGAATTTAAAGTTCTTAGCAAACACGAGACCTTATGAGGAAATTACAGGCACATAATGTCACACAGTTCTTTATAATTACGAATCAAAGAACAATTAAGTACATATTATTTAATGATGTACAGGTGAATACTGGTCGGTAACAACGTTCATATTAGTTTTTGATCTAACGTTACCAATTAAGACATGCAGTTATTTTTATTTAATAACCGAAAGTTGAAGTTTGGGAAGTAGTGTGTCATATTTGTAATAATATGACTCTTATTGAGGTACCGACAGTATTATTCTTCATACACATAATCACAAGTATAATCCACGGAAGAACATGTTATCAGTCAACTAGATATTACAAATGCCATATATAAGTCTGAACAAGCGTATAAAATAGTGTAAACGTTACGTGTAAATAAATTAACGTATCTCTCAGAGGTCAGTGCTGGAATCATCTCTTCTCCTACGATGATTATAATGATGATGATGTCCCCGACTGCTCTTCCTCTGCAACAGTTCGTGTACCTGTGTGTTGCCGTTACTGGCCGTGGCAGGACAGGAGTGCATTCGGCAGATGGTAGTGTTACTTCTCTGGAGATTGTTACTGGAGGCGTAGTATTGCGACAGGCGGTGCAGGGACCGCTCACTGTTATCCAAGTCTTCAGTCAGGAACAAGCAGCAGCACCGGCACAACGTGGCGTGCATTCGCGGTATCGCCATCTTGAACACAAGAATAATTGTAAAAGAACATATATAATACTGAATGATTACTTTTCAAAACACGAGATAGTAAAATCGTGATTAATGCTGACACAGTTTATAAGCTATATTAACGCTTTTTATATTCTCTAAACATTTTTATTCTCTTTATACAGTGTGAATCGTATAGAACCGGCCCGATGAATTTGCTAATAATTCCGCAGATGATGCATACAATTACGACATAATAATCCGTGGGCCGTGCTGAGTCGAATGGTGTGCGCATGAGTCAGAGTCAGAGTCACGTTGCAACTGACGGTCAGTCTGTCTGTCTGTCTTGGTGTCGAGCCCCAGCTGGGGCTCATGACCAGATATTTCTTTTGAGTGAAAGTTACTGTCTTGTCTATGTGTAGCGCCCTCTCTGACGAGAGGTCGGGTCTGTCATTTGTTAGTCAGTCTGTAGTAATTTGTCCATTGTCTGTATTTACACCTATTTACAGTATACCTATTTCTTGTATAAATG